CATGTGCATGAAGTTCTTCGGTTGCCAATAGGGGGCATAGAGATTGATAAAAGCCATTCAACAATGGAAAAAGCAATTCCAAAGCAACTCACTCTCTATCAAAATAGGGGAGCTTAAAGAGTTTTTGAAGGAGCATAAGTCAGCTGGTGCTATGTTCAAACGGAACTTTGTAGTTCTTTGTGTGTCTACACTGATGGATGGTAGTCTTCTTATTTTTATTATGCTCATTTTACTTTCAATTTGCTCATTTTCAATTTAGTTTGCTCATTTCTATTTTATTTTGCTCAGTTAAATTTCTATTTGCTCATTTCTCTTTTGTTTTGCTCATTTTTTTGTCAGGGAAACAAAACATGAATATTAATTCTGATATTCTTACATTTCTTTCTGATGTTGATAAAATCAAGGACTTGAATTGGTCAAAGTATATCCTTGATTCTCTCGTGAAGGGGAAGCTTTTATGGGAAGAACGTCCAACTCGTTCTTTTCCTGAGTCTTTATTGTTTCTTATGGTATTACTATAATTTTTGTATATTTTTAATGTAGTATTTCTTACTTATTTGTTGATTTTTAATTTACTAATTTTTCTTTTCTTACTTGTTTGTAGTTATTATATGTTGATCAATTTGTACTTGAGGAAGTTCGAGCTGCACGTGAAATTCCAATCTTGAAAGGGTGGACAATAGCTATGCTGTCAACACGTGAGAAATTGGAACTCTTCAAAGGGAGGCTTGGAAATATTCATGCTAAAAAGCTTGATGCTGGTTCTTCTAGCATGACACAACCTAAAATGGTGTTTAACTATAATTTTCTGTTTTATTTTTTTCCTTTTTATCCTACTTTTTTAACTTTTTTGTTTTTTATTTAGGAAAAATTCAGTCCTTCTGAAGTGAAAACTCAAGTAGTTGTCAATAAGGTAACCATATATACTGTAATATTCTTTGTTCTTTTTGGAAATGACCAACTAATTTTTGCTCATTTGTCTAATGAGTAAGCAATTACTTGCTCATATTTGAAATGAGCAAATAATTTTTTACTCATTTGACAGATGAGCAAATTATGCAATTGGTTATGTGTTATAAGTAAGCTTGGTTTATATTTGTTAGGATATTTGGTTTCAACTTGTTCTAACTTTCTTTTTCTTTTTTTTTTCTTTTGTTTATGTTTGTCTTTAGGAACAATCTGATCTAATTCGTACAAAAAATGAAGAAAGTGAACAAGATCCAAAGAAGGTATTTATATGAATTTTCTGGAAGCCAATATTAATTTTTTGTTTATTTTTAGAGTTCTTCTCAGTATGATGCATACAGGCAAGTGGCCATATGTGTGCTTTTTCATTACTCATATGCATGTCATGAATATAGAAAAAGTATTTTATGTAAATGTTGGTCTTTGGTTACTGCAATCTTGTGAAACTCATATATGATAAATATGTGGATATTTCTTGTGAGCAGGAGCATTATAGTTCTTAATTTTTTGCTCATTTGTCAAATGAGCAATTAATTTTTTGCTCATTTGTCAAATGAGCAAAAACTTCAATGCTCATATAAAGTTTAATTTGCTCATTTTTATATGACTTTGCTCATTCCATATCCACTTTGCTTATTCTATATTTACTCTTCTCATTTATATTTATCTTATTTATGTATTTTTTTATTTATTTATTTTTTTTTACAAAAATGCCTTATGGAGCTTGCAACAGCATCTACATGTATTTCAGTCAAAAACATGAAACTGCCATCAAATATTTTCCAAACAACGAGAAGATACAAAAGTTGAAGGAAGATGCCATGGGCATTTGTGATGAGCATAAGATGAGCTCCAAAACTTTGACTGAAGATAATACTCTTTCATTTAGCCAAGATGAAGAGTATTGGCAAGATCCAGCAGTAATTGAAGCTTGGGATAGGTTTTCTCAGATTTCAAGCAACAAAAAGCATGTTGAGTCTTCATTCAATGCAATGGTTGTTCATCCAAATGAATCGGAACCCATTGATGTTACTAGGATTACTTCTGAAAGTGTTCAGATAGCAAGTTGTATCCCTGATGTTGGATGTTCAGATAGGGCTGCTAAAAATGTGTTCAAAAAAATTGGAGATTCAAGTTTCAAATCTGCTTCAGGACATTCACTTGCCAAAGGATCTGGAACTCCTACATTCAGTTTAGGAGTCTTTTCTCAAGAAACTAATTCTCCCCCTAGCAATGCGCCTACTGAACCTGTAGTTGCTTCTGTCAGTGCACAAGTTGGTGCTTCTGTTGCTGATGCTTCTCAAGCTGTTGGTGATGCTCTGATTGCTAATCCTCAAGATCTCATTTCTGATGCTCAAGAAGCTTTAATTGTGCATAAGAGAAAAGGTGATACTGAAAAGAAGAGTTATATTCCAAAGAAACGCAAACCCCGGCCATCAGTGCTTCTTAGATCACCTTTTAAGTCTCGCATTATGATAATTTACAATCCATTATCGTCTTGAAGGAAATCTTTGCTGATGATAAAAATCGTTTGTAAGTATTTTTTTTATCTATAGAATTTATTATCTTGTACATTAACTTCCATTTGTTTTAGACATACTAACTTTCTTTATTCTTTTTATGCAGTGAACCAGTATTTAATGGAGAGAATGGTCTTGAAATTTTGAGAGTACATCTTGAGAATCTTTATAATAAATATAAAGTTGATACAGAGATCATTAATGCTTGGTGGAGCATTCTGAATTATAATGAGCAGTTTAGAGATCCAAATTCTCCTGCTCGTTTCTTATTTGACCTTAGTGCTACCGTAAGTTCAAATTCTTTCATTTATTTTGTTTTATTGAATTATTTTGTTTTTTTGTTGTAATTAATTTTTTTTTCTTTAACATGTAGGACTGTCTTATTCACTATGAGATAGATTCTGTTGCCCATCGGAATAAGATGTTTTTTGAGGTTGCTGAGAATTTGTACATGAAATCAGTTGTACCACACAAGGATATTCAGCTTTTTTTCTTCCCAGTTTATGAAGAAGATCATTACTATTTGGTATGTTTTAACACTACCACACTGAATGGTAATATCGAGCTTTTTTATTATAACAAAGATGCTGGAGATCATAAACAGCTTTTAAAACATTTGGTATGGCTTAAAAGTTAATCTCTATTCACATTATGTTTGTTTCTTTTACTTGAATGATTAGATTTTAATATGTTTGCTTATTTGATGTTTTTGTTTTCAGAGAACTGCTTTTTCAAACTTTATTCAATGTGAAGGAAATGTACAGAGTTCTATTTTGGCAAATGATATCAAGCGGATGGAAATTTCTGTGATTAATGGTTCATGGAAGTCTTCGGATAAAAATCATTTGCATTGTGGAGTTGCAGTGATGAGACTCATGGAAACATACATGGGTTGTGCAAAGTGGGATCCTGGTTTGAAGAAAAATAATGTAAATTCTTTGCTCATTTGAGAAATGAGCAACTAACTTTTTGATTATTTGCTAAATGAGCAAGAAATTACTTGCTCATTTATCAAATGAGCAAAGAAATGTTTGCTCATTTGACAAATGAGCAAGGATTTACTTGTTCAGTTCAAAAATGAACAAAGAAATGTTTGCTCATTTCACAAATGAGCAACTAATTCTTTGCTCATTTAAGAAATGAGCAATTAACTTTTTGATTATTTGCTAAATGAGCAAGAAATTACTTGCTCATTTATCAAATGAGCAAAGAAATGTTTGCTCATTTGACAAATGAGCAAGGATTCCTATCAAATGTTTACTTTAATTTTGAGTTCTATGGTCCATTAATCTAGCAATACCGTAGGCCATTTCCTTACAAGTTACAACTGCAACTTGTGGTGTTACTTTTACATGTTTGCTCATGTTATTGAAATCTCCTTAATTGTATAGGGTTTGATTATGTTATTTGTTTTGCAGCTGATAATCTTGACTAAACTTCGTGAAAAGTACACCCTGGGAATAATTACAAGTGAAGTGAACACTATTCTATCTGTTAAAGAAATTGCTCAGAAGAAGAAAAAACAAAGTAAAGTTTATGTTGCTGACAAAGAAGAAAATGCTGAAAAAGAAAAGCCTGAAGAAGAAAAAGTTCAAGGAAGAAAGAGCAAAAGATTGAAGAAAGCTGAATGTTAGGGAATTAAATAGTTAGTAGTGATGATTTGTCTTTTTTGGCTTAGGGAATTGGGTAAATTAAGATTTTATCTACTTTTAAGTAGTCTTTGAATGATGTAAAACTGATTTATAAACAGATTTTACCAATAGAAGCCTACCCTTTTTTACTATAGTGATGATTATATTTGAATTAAAATTCAATCTTTTTTGTGTTTTTACTTCACATACCTTGTTATATACAGCCGTTTTCATTTGAAATATTCGTTCATTTGTTAAATGAGCAAACAGATGTTTGCTCATTAAATGATAGATCAATGAATTCTTGCTCATTTGATAAATGTTCAAAGAATTTCTTGCTCATTTGATAAATGAATAAAGAAATCTTTGCTCATTTCACAAATGAACAACTATTTTTGCTTATTTAAGAAATGAGCTTTTACCTTTTTTGATTATTTGCTAAGTGAGCAAGGAATTACTTGCTCATTTGATGATTGAGAAAAGATATGTTTCCTCATTTGACCCAAGGAGAGCTGATTTTGGATTGGGAGATGAAACAAGAGTGCAATTGTTCCAAGTTCATATAATAGCTAATTTGCTCACTTACCAAATGAGCAAATAATTATTTGCTCATTTGACAAAATGAGTAGTTAACTATTTGCTCATTTGATTAATGAGCAAGGAATTATTGCTCATTCGAGAAATGAACAAATATTTAGTCACTAATTTGAATATGTTCTATTTTCAATTCAACAATATTGCAAAGCATTAAACTATGATTAGTTCAAAATTAATAATATATTATTAAATATAAAAATTCAACAAAATCTTATATGTATATAAAAGTACCATTACACTTTTTTTGGACAATTTCTAATATCATGATGACTCAATTCACCACAACCTCTACATAATCTCTTCTTTTTTTGGTTTTGCTCTACAGCCTTTTCTTTTTCTCCCTTAAGCCTTTTTGCACTTCTACCTCTTGTTTCAACATTTGACACATCAATCTCAGTCGCTTTCTTTTTTGAAGTCTCTTCATTTGATACATGAACTCCAGTCCCTTTATTCTTTGAAACTTTTGGAGGTTTGACAATTATTTCAGTTGGCACACTAGCTCCAATCAATAGCTCAATGTCTTGCTCTTTGGTTTTTTGCACTTCCAGCTGTTGTTTCATTATTTCTTGCAATCCTCTTTGATTCCAAATCCTTTCTTATTCCTTGAAGATTTATCACAAGGTCTTGAATATCTTCATCTTTGCCTTCTGCCAAACTTACACAAGTGTGTATCTCTGACCATAAATCATTTAACAATTTTTTCTTGTCTATTATATTAGCACATTGCTCCAACAGGTTTCCTCCCAAGTCAAAAATTGGTTTCTTTAATGCCATAGTAGTCCACCTGTGTAGCATATACTGCTCGGGAATGGTTTCAAACCTTTTTGCTTTCCAAACCCAAATCATATGTCTACATGGAATTCCTTGCCTATAAAATAGCTTGCAAGAACATGTGGTGTCATAGTTAGTTGGATTAAACACAACATCAAATGTTCTAGTCCGATTTCCTTCACTTACTGTTGCAACTTCCAATTCATTTTCTTTCTTCAATTCATCAACACCACAAGAAAAACAAGCAATTTCAACCTCGTATTGAAAATCATAAAAGACAGAGTTAGTATATAAATGTGAGGCATGCTTTTCTATCCCTAGTGGTGTTTTGCACTCAGGATATTTGTGCTTTGAATCATTATCATTCTGACCTTAAGTGTGTCTCTGGGCATCAATTGCAGCTTCATATCTCAAGTAAAACTCAACAAGTGACACATAAGGATTGATAAAGGAGCAGAAAAAGTTGTTTTCACTTTCGGATCTTGATGTTGTACGCATTATTCCTCCAAGGAACACATCTCTGAAATAGGCCGGAATCCACTTGTCTCTTATCTTGTACATATAACCTCACCATTCATGTTGTTCCTAGTGGTATTCAATCATCACATTGTTCCACGTTTCTTCAAACTCAGCAGGTTCAATTTCAAGGTGCCAAACGCAAGCACATAATTTTTTTAGGAAACCAGTTTCTTCTTGCATGAATTATTTCTCCACCTTATCTGGTAACTTTTTCATTATGTGCCACATACAGAACCGATGTTTAGTCTTCTTAAACACACTTCTAATAGCAATTTTCATTGCTAGATCCTGATCTGTGATCATACAATTAGGTTCATTCCCACCCATTGCCTTGAGAAATGATCTGAACAACCATTCAAATGACACGATATCTTCCTTTGCTATGAAATCAGCAGCAAAATTAATGCAATTCTTATGATGGTCAACGCCTGTAAATGGAGTAAACACCATGTTGTACCTGTTTACACATACAAAATAAAGTTTAAATGAGCAAATAATTTAATACTCATTTGAAAAATTATCAAATAATCGATTGCTCATTTGTCAAATGAGCAAATAACTCAATGCTTATTTGTGAAATAAGCAAACAATTCTTTGCTCTTTTGTCAAATGTGTAAATAATTGAATGCTCATTTCTCATATGAGCAAATAACTCAATGCTCATTTGTGAAATGAGCAAACAATTCAATGCTCATTTGTCAAATGAGCAAATAATTGAATGCTCATTTGTCAAATGAACATGCAATTCAATGCCCATATACATACTCTTATCAAAGAATATTAGACTTATGGGGATATTCAATTTCTACATAGAAGTAATGAGCAATTAAACTAATTTTATTTAAAACAAAGTCATTAATTTCAGCCATAGCTAGTAATAACACATAAATGAATTACCTATTGGTTTGGTATGTAATATCAAAGGATACCATATCACCAAATAGAGCATAACTCTTTTTACAAAGGGGGTCTGCCCACAATGCTCTGCAAAGGCAATAATTTTCATCCATCTCAAAATCAAAGAAAAAAGCGCTCCACATCAGCTTTTTGTTGGTAAAGTTATCCACGAACATTTGAGCATCGCTTCCTTGAATGTATGCTTTTAAATCTCTATGAAAATTTTTGAAATCTTCCTTAGATGCATCAATGTTTTCATATCCTCCAACAATTTCCTTCATCATTCGAAAAGTTGTAACTGGACCAATATTCACCTATTTAAAGAACAAAACAGTTTGTCACATGAGCAAATAATTCAATGCTCATTTTTAAAATGAGCAAACAATTCAATGCTCATTTGTCAAATGAGAAAAAAATTATTTGCCCATTTGTCAAATGAGCAAACAGCTTTTATTAGAACATACAAAGAATTCATGAAACATAAGAGAATTTGAAACATAAGAGAATTCATGAAACAATTCAATGCTCATTTGGCAAATGAGCAAAAAATTATTTGCTCATTTGTCAAATGAGCAAACAACTTTTATTAGAACATACATAGAATTCATGAAACATAAGAGAATTTGAAAGTGTTACCTTAGAATTATTCACAATTATTTTTTTGTGTAAAATGTTCATTTTCCTTCCTTCTTTTTGGAATAGATTGCAGCTAGGTGTATAAAGTGCATGAGTATGTCCCTCATGAAATTTTGTCACTATGAATGTGTTATCATCACAATGCTTTAGGAAAATATGTGCCTTGCACCCAACACGAGTAACGAGTCTCTTCCTTTTGATTGAAGATTTTTCTTCATTGTTTTCCCCTTCCTTGTTATTTAAATCTTTTTCTACAGTAGTCTTTCTTTTTTCTTTGTATCCTTCCTTATTGCACAAGATATGCTGATATTTTAATTCTTTGCTTCTTCTTTGTCTTTTAGTTGTAGACTTCCTTGTATTGAAACCAGAAGCAAATGCATAGCCTTTATAAAATTCAAGGCCCTCTTCAAGATTATTAAACTTCATCCCTATAGCTGGTTTCAACTCATTGGGGCATATTGGATGCCATTCTTTTGTTCCTCCAGGAGTGATCAAAGGTGCTACTTTAGGAGAAACTACTATTGTAGGAGTAGTTGGCACATTTGTGATGGTACTTGATTGACTCTCAGCTTGTTCGTTGTTGCTCATCATTTGTGAATATGCACCTCCTTAAACACACTTAAACACACACATACACTCTTAATAATTAGAACTGAAATCAGATTCTTAAACAAACTTACACACACACAGACATAGATACACACTTACACACACACACATACACATACACACACACACACACACACTCAATAATTTCATAATCTATAATTATAACTGAAATCAGTTTCTGAAATCAGGATTGCAAGCAGAAGAGGAGGGGGCAGGGGGGGATAGGTTTGCTCATTTGTCAAATGAACATGCAATTCAATGCCCACGTATATAAACTCTTACACTCAATCACACTTACACTCACACTCACACTCACACTCACACACAGACACACTGTTACACTCATTCACACACACACACACACACACTCTCTCTCTCTCTCTCTCTCACACACACACATACATACACAATTCTGTATACTTAGTGTTTTTACAAGCAATTATTTGCAAAACTTATAGATCCTTGAATTACTTATGAATGTCATTAATGTTTGCTCATTTTAATTGTAGTTACCTCATTTTAAATGTTCTATTATACATATTTAGGTTTGCTCATTTTAATTTATTTGTTTATTTTGAATTTGATTGAAAATAAGAACATAATAACAGCAAAGTTCAACTTGCTCATTTTTATATGATTTTGCTCATTCCATATCCACTTTGCTCATTTCATATCCCCTTTGTTCTATTATACATATTTAGGTTTGCTCATTTTAATTTATTTGCTCATTTTGAATTTGATTGAAAATAAGAACATAAATAATTGATTCAATCACTATAAAGTTTAATCTGATATTATTAAAATCTCTATCAAATTAATCAAACCTAAATAATTGATTCAATTCAATCAAATAATTGATGCAATTAAACATTCAATTCGATTAATGTAATTCGAAAATTAACATGTAATTCAATTCGAAAATTAACATGCAATTCCAAATTTTTCAGAGATGTAAAATCAAAATATATTGAATATTCAGATTAACATGCAATTCAAAATTAAAATTACGAACAAACCTCAATGGTGGATGAAATTGCGACCGTTGAAATTTGCAAAAAGAAACCGTTGAAAATTGCAGAAAGAAACCGCTGAAATTTGCCGAAAGAAGAGCATACTCAGTGAATCGCCATTGATAAGTAAATCGCCATTGATGAGCTTTGAATTGCAGACAGAATAGAGGGGAGAGATAAATTAGATGCTGAAAGTTAGCTTGTAGGCATGCTTATAATCTCAGCAGTTGGATTTCATCTAATCTAGCGGCTGAGATTTGTTCTCACATAAGGTGTGGGTTCTCACATAAAGGGTGGTTCTCACCGGATCCCGACCCTATATATATATATATATATATATATATATATATATATATATATATATATATATATATATATATATATATATATATATATATATATATATATATATATATATATATATATATATATATATATATATATTGTATTCAAATTCCACCTTAATACTAGACCAAGATGGTGCCAACTCTAACATAACAAGAGATAAGAGTAAAATATATAAATAAATTTATTCCCCCTGATTTAATAACTTCTACTAGAGGTGTCCACCGTGCGAGTCGTGCGAGCTGGGTTAGGGTTAGGTGGGTCGCGGGTTGGGGTTTCATGACACACGGCACGACACACGTAGGGTAGGGTGGGCCGGGTCGTGGGTTGGGTCGGAGAAGTTGGACACACCAGGGTTAGGTTCGTGGGTTAGACGAGTCGTGGGTGGGTCGAGCTGGGTTTGTGGGTTAGACGGATCGTGGGTGGGTCGAGCTGGGTTTGTGGGTTAGACGGGTCATGGGTGGGTCGAGCTAGGTTCGTGGGTTAGACGGGTCAAGGTGGGTTAGTGAGTTAGGGTGGGTCGAAGGGTGGGTTAGTGGGTTAGGGTCGGGTGGGTTTGTGGGTTAGGTGGGTTAGGGTCGGGTGGGTTAGTGGGTTAGGGTCGGGTGGGTTTGTGGGTTAGGTGGGTTAGGGTCGGGTGGGTTTGTGGGTTAGGGTCGGGTGGGTTCGTGGGTTAGGGTCGGGTGGGTTGTGTGGTGTTTTAATTTTTACAAAATTAACAATTTGATGGCTTGCTCTTAATTAAGATGCCTACGTATCCTTATATTATAAAATAAGGAATCAAAGCCAGCGTAGTTCTTATATTGTACTTCTTTTGAAATTTGGGGGGGGGGGCTTGGACCTATCTTTAGAAAACTAAAATTTAATTTTGCAATTAAATTGTAATTTTCGAAAAATAAGTTGCCTACGTATCCCGAAAGAATCAAAGCCCACGTAGTTCTTAGCGTACCTGATTTAGACTTTTCTAGCCACCCATGTTTGTTGCATCATCATCCCCGGAAGCTGCATCATCCGTTGACGACTCCAATATCATCACAGGATCATCTTCATCGTCTTCGTCTTCCTTTAAACCTTGAGTTCTTCTTTCAGCTTGATCCCAATCTTTCTTACAAACACAAATTTGAATGCTTTCCGGAGTTAAGCGAGATTTTTTTTCATCTAACACTCTTCTACCTGCACTAAAAGCAGACTCGGAAGCAACAAATGAAGCGGGAACTGCAAGTATATCTTTTGCAATTCTCGCCAATATAGGAAAACTTTTTTTATGTTCTTGCCACCATTTTATAATTTGAAAGTTGTTGTTGGTCTCATGTTGATATGACAAATAATCATTAATAGCAAGTGTTGAAGAAGATGATGATGAGAATGATGTAGATGCTTTGTGTTTTTTTTTCATAACTTTATCAAGAAAACCAAATCTAGAATCGGAAGTGCTAGTAGTAGTTGGTGTTGCCAAATCAAAACCATAAATAGATGCATAATGATCATAAAGGTCTCCCAAAACAGATTTGCATTTGTTAATATATTCACTAACATCATAATCGATACTTAAACTTGTATAATAAAATTCTAAAAGATTTTCCAAACCTTCAGCTTTGACACCGAGGTCAAGAATAGCAGCAATTCCATAAATGATTGGAAATTCACTAAAATAAGTATGCCACTTACGTTTCATGCTATCAAGAACGGGACGAAGTCCATCAATCTTCATATGCTCTTCGATGGTGTGAACAACTTTAACACACTCAATTATGACTAAATGAACGTTAGGCTCATAAATATAAGAGAAAATATGAGTTGCACTATCAAAAGCATTTAAAACATCACGAACAAAAGAAGCATTAGTCCAATGACTTTCGGTTATTAACTCAGTAGGATCAACACGAGTCTCATTGTAAAGTTGGGTCAAAATATCACGATACTTTATAGCATCACTCAACAACTTGAAAGTAGAATTCCAACGGGTAGGGGTATCAATAGACCATTGTCTTTTCTTAAGACCTCTCTCTTTACACATAGCTATGTACTTTCTTCTAACTGACTGAGTAATCCTAATCCATTTTATAACTGTTCTAATTGGGTTTAGCAATGGTTGCAACTCAGCGAGACCCTCTTGAACAGACAAATTCAAAATATGAGCACAACATCTAACATGCAAGAGACTACCACCCAACAACAAATTCAACTCGGAGTCATTTTTCAAATAGTCAATACACTTTGTGTTTGCAGTTGCATTATCAAGAGACAAAGAAAAAACTTTATTATTCAAGTGAAATTCTTTTAAACAATCCAAAATACGAACTTTGATGTTAAAACCGGTATGCCTTTCTTCCATAGCTTGAAAACATAGTATACGTTTTTGAATAAACCAATCATCATCCACCCAATGAGCAGTAATGCAAAGAAAAGGTTCGCCAAAACTAGAAGTCCATGTATCACTTGTAAAACTAACACGACCATCAAAAGTACGAAATAATTCAATCAAACCACTCCTATACTTATAATAAGAAGTTTGTGTATAACGTCTTAGGGTATTTCGGGGGACACGAGTAAATGCAGGTTGTAATGCAACTTTATTAAAATGCTCAACGTTTGCATTTTCACCGTAACTAAAAGGGTATTCATTAGCAATAACTAAAGTACTCATTTCATCAATCATTCTATCTTTATTATAAATGAAAGGTGTACCTCCGCCGGGTTGGTTCATGTATCCACCCAATTGTGTTTGGACGCCACCCCCCGAAGGACGGGGGCCATTTTCGAACAAGTCGTGTTTATTTTGCAAATGCCGACTCAAGGTTCCGGTTCCATCTCCCGTTTTCCAATTATATGACTTGACATTTGCACCTAGCGCCTTGCAAACTAGGCATGTACACGTGAACCTCTTTGGTTGACCAGGTTGCCATCCCGGGGGTGTGACCTCAACTCGTTCAAAATGTTTCCACACCCAAGAAAAATGTGCTCGACCTCTACTTTCACCGCCACCACCTTTCATAAATCAAATTATTAAAATTAATTTTTAAATGCTATTCATGAAAATAAGCTTTTAAATTTTAAATATTTTAATTATACTTATTTAAACGCATTTTTCATGGTAATTAACTAATTGTAAATCATAGAAAATTGGAAACTAAACTAACTTTATAATCATTAATAATAGTTTTTTTAAATATTCATAACAATAAAAATTTAATTAGAAATTACCTTGAGATGAAGGTTGAGATGTTGGTTGCGATGGAGGTGGCATAGTTGAACTTGATGATTGGTGGGACTCGTGGGAGAAATGTTGTGGTGGAGACGTTTGAATATTTTGCCTATCTCCTAAACCATAATCTCCATATTCATTGACAAATTGGTTTAAATTTTCCGTATTAATTTCATACGAAAAATTTGCACCACCACTCCTTTGGCTACCACTTCGACCACCACTTTGACTCCTTCCCATTCCTCCTCTTGAGCTCATTTTTTTTTTGTATGATTACTAATTATAATATGGAGAAGAACTTTTTTTTTTTAGAATCTTAAGAATACTAATAATAATATTAAGGAGATTTTTTTTAACAAAAATATAACTCTATATAACACTTGAGAATTTGAGAACAATAAGAATTTTTAAGTAAGAGAGAAAGAAAGCTTGAATTTGTGTGGAAATTTGAGTGAAATGGAATTGGTATTTATAGGAAAAATAGAATGGATGATCATACACTTAAAAAACTAGCCGTTAGATACAAAAAACTAGCCGTTAGATACAAAAAACTAGCCGTTTTTTTTTTTAAAATGGATGTTAGGCCGTGCGGGTCGTGCGAATTGTGCGGGCTGTGCGGGCCGTGCGGGTTGTGCCGGCCGTGCGGGTTGGGTGGGTCATGCGTGCGGGTTGGGTGGGTCATGCGTGCGGGTTAGGTGGGTTGGCTCGTGCGGGTTGGGTGGGTCATTCGTGCGGGTGGGCCGTGCGGGCTGGGTTGTGCCAGGTGGGTCGGGTTAGGTGGGTTCACGGGCTAGGTGTGTCGAATTAAATGAGTCAAAACGGGTTGTGCGATTTGGGTCGAATCAAACGGGTTAAACTGAGCTGGGTTGAAATGGGTTGTGTCGAAAATTTTGGACCCACGACACAACCCGGATTAAATCCGAGCTGTGCCGGGCTGTGCCGGATTGAAACCGGATCGGACCCACGTGACCCACCAGCCGTGCGAGTTAGGGTGGGCTGGGTCCAACCCGGCCCACTGGCCACCTCTAACTTCTACAGGCAATATTAAGAGGTAGGTGTGATTAGAAACCCAAAGTATTGCTGTTCATTTTTCTAAAAGGAACAGAACAAATATAGAATGATAAAACAAATACCTCTTACGCTTTCAAGTCTAAAGATGACAAGCTTGCAATAAGAGTTAAGATAGTTTTTGATAAACTTGTAAAAAAAAGGCAGAAAATAGCACAACTCCAAAGAAATTGATAGTTAGAATATAATAGATATCACTAGCTTCGGAGCAACCATAGGGGGGCACGTTACACTTAAACCCCTCTTACATGGAAAATCAATTCAAGGCATAATATTTGTTGAATTTTCTTATTTTAGCATGTTATACATGCATAATTTTCTTATTCAAGGCATAATACTTATTAATACCTTGATTAAGTCCCAATTGAGAATTCGATTGAAATCAAATTACTGAAAAAAAAAAAATTAAGCCACTAAATTACATATTTAGCATGGAGTAATTCTCTCATTTCAAAGTTGATAATTTGTAGTCTTCAACTCAGTTCTAGCTAAACAAAAAGAGTAGGCAAAGAGATGTACCCGTTGTCCAAGCAAGTGGGCTTTGACAACAACTTAAACATTAAACAAACAACATCAAATCTTGGCTTCACCTATTCTGAAATCCAATGCAAACTCCCAGAGCCACAGATCACATGACAAGGGAAAACCAAAATTCAAAATGCTAAAAAAAAATCGACTACCTAATAGATATAGGAGATAAAATGTCAGTAGGAAGATAAACTAAGTACCAAAATGTATGTAGTAGTAAATTGCTATATAATCAGAAGTATAATTCATTATTGCACCCCATTGAATCATCATATAATAAAACGGGTGTTTAACACTCATAATTTCTAACTACAAGTTGATATGTTTTTTAGATTTATAAGGGAATAAATCTAATTTCTCATTCAGTTTTTAGCTTTCAAGCATTATCATAAACTTGTAAACTCAAGCACCTAATATTCTCTAATTTCCATCACAAAATCAACTTCTGATTATATAATTTCTTACTAGTAATTTTATTTTGAGTCAAAATTCTAAAAAAACAATGTCTGGTAAAAGAAACCCCTTAATTATGTTTAGAACAAAATATAAAAATTAAGGGGAAAAAAAGAATGAAGAAAGCAAACCAAAATAATTTTAACACATTATTTGATCTTAAGGAGGAATCAATTATATAGAAAAATCATATCATAACTAACAAAATTACAAGTGATGAATTGAATTTGATTAAAACTAAGTAAAAATAACCAAATATCAATCAAACAACCAATTAATTACATACAGTCAAAAGGAACAAAAAGCTTCCATTCCGGTTTGGTTCTTTTTGCTTCATTTTCATACTCCTCAAAATCTCAACTTCTCTTTACAATTTTTTTTCTAAATTTATAATTTAATCAATTGAATATACACATTTCTTATAACCGAATATTTGCCCAGATTCAAATGTAAATTGCAGAATGAAGCATAACAATATATATAACTATAATAAAACCCTATAATCTCTGTTATTCATTAATCAAACAATATCAGATCATAATTTAGTGAAAAAAATTTGCTAAAAACAATTTAATAGACTTCAATCAAAAGTGAAATTCGAATTCTAAAATGAATTGTTTACCTTAAAATTAACGACGGCATAGAGAGTGGCAAAACTGATTGCAGTTTAAAGTGAGTAAAGAAATTTCACCAAGAATAAATAAGATCTAGATTTAAATCCATGAATTTAACAAAGGAGGAAGGTATAGTTAGGGTTGAGAACTGCCCGTAAAAAAAAAAAAAAAAAAAAAAAAAAAAAAAAAAAAAAAAAAAAAAGGTTGAGAACTGAAACGCGGATTATAAATTTCGCTGCAGACGCCCCTCACCTAGCGTCGAGGCATAAGTGTCGAAAAAACACTCATTTTGTAGTAATGAGACGTGAAATACGATGTTAAAACGTCCATGTATATGTAAAAATGCCAATTTAATCACAGGAATAATTTCAAGAATCTTTCAAGTCTCATCCACTCATCTTAATTAAATACCGATCACCCAAATCGATAAATAACCAATAATCATCCCAAGTGGAGTCGCCAAATTGTAGGCATCGTTCGATGTGCGCCTACGTTAAAGAATGTGTCTATATGCTTGGCACTCTTAGGAAGTGGAAATTGACGTATACAATTAGGGACAAGGAAAGTAGGGAGCCGCAACCAGTTATTAAGGAACTTGTAAATCATTCACAGATCATAAAAGGCAACCACGATAAAGGGTCAACGATAAGCAACAATTATTGAACCATGAAGGTTACACCCCATTCATAATCCATAAAATTACTAACTCCATATGGTTCGGAACCACGAAAGGAGGATCGGGGATGATGGTAAGAAGTGAGTCATGGAGTCACATTCGCCCGTATTGGCATCTACTCGATTCTTGTAGTGAAAAATGAATCCTGCGATCTCAAAGGCATAAAAATAAAATATTCAATTTGCTCCAAACTATTATTAAGAAAAATTGGTTGAATAGTAATGCAACATATAATTCTAAAATATCGTGATCACTTGATTAAACAACAAGATAAAAAAGGATCCTAAATCGGTCGTCCAAATTATCTTATTAGGCGTGATTTTTAATTATATATTCTCTTTAAACATGCAATATGGTGATTAACAAAATAATAATAGATTAAACATTAATATTGGAAGCAATTTAACAATTATATAGTTAGTCAAATCAAATATAAATTAACTTAATCATGATACTAGCAATAATAAAATAAAATAAGTAATTAAATTAATTAATTACTCACATTCTGCGCATTCCTTTAAATTGCTACATCATGAATAAATTGTTAGTAACTTCAATAAAAAATATAAATCAAATGAAAATTTAATTAAATTAAATAAAAATTAAAGTTTATTTGTTCCAAACCCTCAGTTAATTATTCATTTCACGCCTTGGTTTAAGGACAGAACATCGGGTTAAGTATGGAGTCATTGGAGTGCTTAAGAGAAGAATGATGTAAATAGGAATATAGTTTTGAAGGCGTAGAATATGAAAGAGGGAGAGAGAAGAGAATGATTTTTTGTGTAAAAGAGAGGAATAGAAAGTGATTTGATGCCCCAAACTGCAGAAAGGAGGGTGGTATTTATAGGGAAAATGAGTAGAGGAAACACATGGAACCCCAAAAGGATAAAAACCCTTAAAAAGAACAGCGCGTCATGGTAGAGAAAACAATTACACGGTTCCAGGAACCGTTAGATGAGGGAAGGCACCGTCAGACGGGGGAAAATCCCGTGACCCGGGGAAAATTGGAGTGACGCGGGACATATTTGACATACGGGAAGTGAAAACGCATGAATGGTTTACGCGTAAAAGACACGAGAAAATTCCGTGATACGGCAATGTCCACCATGGCACGGTACAGTACATCATGTCATGGTATGCAAAAACACCGAAATTACACGGAAAATGCACCGTGACACAGTGTGAAATACCGTGTAACGACAGCAAGTACCATGTCACGGCAATAGGTACCGTGCCACGGTAAAATTTGACGCGAAAAAGCTTTAAAAATATCACTGTGACACGATGTACAGTACCGTGTCACGGCACCAGGAACCGTGCCACGTCATCAGGCGTCGTGACACGGTGCTTTTGCGTTGTGCGCGGTAATTCCAGCTTTTTACACGTCTTGAAAATTGGGATAAATTTTGGTCCGTAACTCGGAATAAGGCATATAATATATCATTGGAAATCTTATCAAGTCTATTTTCCAACCCAATTAGAAAAATGTCAAAATGACTTGTAGATGTTAAGATACGACTGTTTTAGTTGAAGGGTGTCGGTTTTGGGCCGAGTTTAGTGTTTTGCTCATATGTTTTTCGTTATAGCTCGGAATTGGGCTTATGATATATGGTTGGATAGCTTATTTCAAGTCCTATACAAAAAAAAAATAGTTGGATCAAAATTATATATCCATAAAATCTGTTTCTCTCTGTTTTGCGATGTGGACACGAAAAGTGGAAAATATGTTAAGGTTTAGGGAAATGAGCTAGAAATTGGATTGGTTTATGAAATATATTAGATAGAACATGGATTTAAGCATTCCAAAGATTAAATACTCAACCCGAATAATAATGGTAGTGAAAGGTGTTCATCATCGGGTTTGGTTTTGGGGAGACATTTTTAGGTGTCTACAGAATACCTTTCACGTAAAATCATAATCGAATGAAGTGAAAGTGTGGAAAGTCTGATGTCGTGGTTTCTTTTTATTGAAAATACTTCTTTCTATTTTCAAAAACTTGTAAGGAGGGTGTTCCCGTCGTAGGAGATCTTCTCTTTAGATGCCCATGGCCCTTTAGAAGCCTGGGACTTTACACTGGTTAGTGTATTAGGATTTGAATTCCTGACTGTTTGGGGGACCTTGAATTAGAATTGATTCTATCATCACGCTTTTTTGTAAGAAACAAGTAGGAGTCGCTAATGAGTTTTGGGAAAACCCATAAACCTCGTTCATTCCTTTCTCCCAAGTGGAGTTCATGGGATAATTAGCACGAATCGTAAATTTACCCATGCCCAAATTGGTTTACATAAACAAGAAATGAGTTCGGGAGCGAGGTTACTAAAATAACGTTCCCTTTAAAGGTGAATCGCTAATCTAGCCCTACTGCGGCCTCTATTAGCTCTTCCTTTTTCACAATTTCGTCACCATACAATATATGCAACGCGAAACCTAAAACTAAGTTAGTTGATTTTTTTACAAGCATTAATCACGTAGGAATTACATTGCAAAAGTCGTTATTCTTTGTTTAATCAATATTCGTGAAAAGAACAAAATAAACAATATTCGTCTTATCTTAAGTGATCAACCAACAATTAATTATTTAATTCTTATCTTTATTTAACACAAGATACTATGTGGAATTGATTAATTAGTCCTTTTAAGGTGATTAAGCAACACTAATTAATTAATTTATAGTTCTTTTAAACAAGAAAAAAAAATACAATTTATCTAAGTGCTCGGTAATTTACCACTTCTCTTTGCAAGATCTCCCTTTAGAACACTTTTAGACTCCTACTTGTTCGGAAACCTCCATCGTAGTAACAAAATATCAAGGGGTGAGTGTTTAGGACAAGAGGGGTTAGGTAGCACAAGTTCAGAAGTACTCTGCCAGAATTTTAGGTTATTTTTCTCTATAATTAAGCCTCGGATTAAGTCTCTATTTATAGGGAATGGATAGGATTAGGGTTTTCGGCATTCTGCCGCAGCAGGTGTCGTGCGCAACTAGATGAGTTGCGCGCGGCATCCCAACACAAGTAATTTAGTTGCGCTACTATTGGCTGCGCAACGGGATGTCTTGCGCGCGGCCTTATGGTAAGATTCGATTTTATACTTTCATAAAATTCTGAATCTTCTGCAAGTGCATCTCTAGAGGTTTCGTAGAGTGTCGAGCGCAACTGAATTAGTTGCGCGCGCCTACCCAGCGGGACTGATTGAGATGCGTGCCGCTTTATTTGTGGCAGCATTAAAATTTAACCTAGGCGTTCCTAAATCCGTCATTATTGGGTTTTAAGCACGAGCTTAAGACTAATTATGATCGGATTTAGTTAATTGGACCTTGTTTAGTTTTGTTCTTTAGATTGGGCTAGTCTTTTGTGAATTGTGGCTTGATCAGTTGTCCATAAGCATTCTCCGCTTCAATCCAACATGAAGATGGTTTTATTTATCGTCATTGCACTTCCTGTTGGGAGAGGAGTCCAAAAGTAGATGTCTACAATTAGCCCCCACTTTGATCGAGTCTAGAATAGATGATGATCAAAGTAGTCAAGGAAATAAATACGAGACTCATTCTGCGAAGTTCTCTAAAGATAGAGAATCTTTTTAGAAATGTTAAGGATGTGGAAATGGTCCTTGGTTCACTAAGTGTTCAAAACAAGTAGCTATTAAGGCTAGATAAAGTTTTTCCTAGTCTTAATGCGCTAAAGAATCTAGATTAAACCTTTGCAATTGTAGAACGCTTTTACAAGTAAAGGTGTTTTGGGTGATGTCAAGTTATGAGAAGAGATCGATTTTGAAAAAGAATAAAAGGGGATAATTTCCTCTCAATCGTGTCATCGTTGGTCTAAGGTCCCTCGATATGTCATTGAAACTTTAATCTAACTTTAACAAAGTAAAAAGATGAAAAAGGGGTTTTTTGGCATTCGAGCCTAAACGGTCTTGTATTCGAGCCGGATGTCCACAAGATAGAAATACATGTCTCAGGACTGGAGGCACATATCCAAATCCGGTGAGAGGGAAGAGAGTCAACAACTCTCTCAGCAGTTTTGACCACATGATGAGTACACGTGTCTCATGACTGGGGGCACGTGACTATATAGGCGTAACATCGTCTCGTCGCTTCTTTATAAAGGGGGGTGACGGACACCCTAACTGTCCGGTAAGCTAGTAAGCTTACTAACTAACGTATTTGGTTCCAATCAAGAAGTGTTTGTTCCTGATGGTTCGGCACGCCTGTCGACTCGTGTGATAACACCTAAAGTAATCTTCTACCTTTTAGTTTCGAGAGGTAGATCTAGCAAAGCTTGGGCTGAAGTAAAATTTTACGCAACACCTACACCATACAATTTGGCACCGTACGATACGACTTTTGCATTTTTACGCTGCATGAAAACGCCTTCCTTTTTGCTTTGGACGTGAAAAAGAAGAAAAGCCGAAAATTTATAACGTTAGTACAGTAAAATGACAAACCTGTCAATGGGTGCTTTTACATAAAGCACCACCAGGGAACATCTTAAGACACTCTTACGAAAAAAGTTCAAAATGTATGCTTATGGAAGGCCCAAAGCGCGGTGTGCATGCACGATTGATGCAAAAAACTAACAAAAAATAAAACAAACTACAAAATGCAAAGCAATTTAAAATATTTTTATAGTTTGCGCGCCATTACGTCTAATAACGAGAAAAAATTGTTAGAAAATGATCAAACGAATCAAAATCTGGGTACTGGCATTTTAGTGAACACTATCCACGCGCAACTCAGTA